ATTTCATTTTATTAGGGGTTTTAATTGTATGGCCTTGAACTTACTACTTTATTCTACCAATATCCCTAGGTTTTGATTTTTAAAACAAAATATAAACGTATAATGAGTTATTCGTTTCGTGCCACGGCGCCTATTATTTATGTCTTCGCGCCCCTGAATTGATACCCACAAATATGTCATTTCAAAAGAATCGTTATTGGTCAGCTACATAACCAGCCTTGAACCCACAGATAGTATATTTGGATACTCGAGTTATTATCGTTATTGATCAGATACATAACTCACCTTGAACCCACATATAGTATATTTGGACACTAGAGTTATTATTTCAATTTAATTAGAATCTCTTTTAATAATATGAATGACCACCACCTGACCTTTAATAATCCTTTAAGTCAACTAATTTTTCTTTCATATTGTAATTGTATGCTGCTCCCCGTGGGCGTTTTTATGCAATAAACGTACTTACTTACTTACTTACTAATATTAAATTTTATATAAAACGTATGTTCAAATTACAGCTGACCACACCACAGGATAAAAAACAACAACCATTTTGAATACAGATATATGGTTAACTATAGTTAATCCGTTTATTCTGATTTTCACTCAAGTAACCTCGGGATACACGGTTGAGAAAATTGTGTAGCGGACTGCTAGCCTTTGAATTAAATGCGAAAATTGTCTTATTGGTCAAATCACATTCCACACATTATTGAACAAGGCCGATAAGTATCTAGACCGAAAAATCAAGTATAGTTGAATAAGACTCATTTCTAAAATCTGTCGGCACGCAAAAAAGAACAATTATTTTTTTAATATCACATTTTAAAATATAAAATGGAAATTTTGCGAATTGCAATGGCTCTCAATTTATATTTCAAAGATAGATGATTGGTTTTTTTTTAAAACCACATTTTAGAATATACAATAACTGGGCCGCTACGGCATACTATCATTTCAAATTCCAAATGTCAAGGGGTTTTTTTTTCATGTGCACGCCAATGTGCACGACTGACACTGCAAAATCCCGAGGAACTTTCGCAGCCAACACCTGGACCGAATTCGATACCTCCTGGTTATCGAGTCAGTGTGTTATATACTGAGCCACCGCGGCCCTTCTTTTAAATCAAACAATCCAGTACATTTTAATCCGCCTGCTATTTCTAAAAACTATCGTCACAAAAAAGACAAATCTTCTTTTGTTCTGTTGGCATTGACTCTCTAAATTATAGTGAATGGGACGGGGACGTTGGTTCACTAACCTGAAGGTCCCTGCGTTGGGCGAAGAAGGGACAACGTATAGTCTTTCGGATGGGACGAAAACCCGACATCCCATGCAAACATTGGTGGGTGCGTAAAATAACCCTTGGCAGTTGGAATTCGAAATAAGAGTAGACCGTAGCGCCGCTGTCCGAACAAAATTTCCCTCATAGCTCACTGTATGCCCATCTTCCTTAGCCCTGTGGGAGCAGAACAGTAGGGCGTTAAAACCCATTTCATTTCATATCATTTCTCTAAAATATCTAAAAAAAAACAACTCAAGTCTATTTATATATTTATTTAATATAAAAGTGTGTTTCAGATAACCATGAGCAATGCTAATGAGCAAAATGACGGACATATGAAATAAATGAGACAGAATATTCATATAGTATTATCACTGCCTAGAAGGGGATATTAATAACGAAATAAAACGTCCTATAAGGAGGTAAATGGCCACTCGTTTTTACCGTTCGGTAAATTTATGACCTCCATCATGGGGACATAAAGGCGAACACGGGGCTTTTGTTATAGTCAGTTTACAAGATACTAACCCTAATCCTAGCGAAACATAGGTCCACCACGCACACAGAAACTTTAAATCCAGGGACATTCGAGATAGAACCGAGCCTAAAACATACGCATCATACCATGAGCTATGAATATTCTGAAAAGTGGACCTTTATGTCCATATAAATTTACCGAAAGGTTAAAACCGGGTGCCGTTTGTCTCCTTATAAGCCAATTTATTTCGTTATTATTGTACCCTTCTAGGCGGTGATAATATTGAAACGGGTGCATATACTAAACGAATTTTATGTTTTGAAATACTAAACGATTTTGGTGGTTCATTAAAGGCATCATTCCGCGATCATTGCAAAAATGTGAAAAACAGAAAGGGGTTTAAAGATGCGTTATGTAAGAGCTAAAGCGATCCTCATTTAGCAAATTTAATTCAAATATGGATAATCGAGACTTTGTTTATTATCGCAACAACGGTACTTGACAATTGAAACTATACTGAGAAAACTTCAAATCCTGATAGCTCAGAAACGAGTAATTTGACAGAATTTCCAATATATTCATTTTCTTTATCTAAATCTTACATATGCATATTTAAATGCAATTGTCTATTTAAATTATAGACAAATAAGAACTGCAAATCATGGTCTGTATCGCAATTAACATGATTAGAACGAATAAAATCAACAATAGATTATATTCTCCTGAAATCGATGTAAGCCGATATAATTTCAAAGCATCGATACCGAGACAAAATAAAAGCTGCGTAACGGTTACAAATCGTGAATAAACTTTTAAACGGCAGACATTTTGAATGGATATATTCAAAATGGAAATCTGGAACCTACTGGAACATAACCAGTATTCAAAACCCCAATAGACGAATGGACGAATTCGACAAACCCGACCATGGGCAACACGTGGGCTTGCTACATGAGAATCTCATAATGGAAAGTGTTAATCAGGAGTATATAAACAGGTTTGCCGGCGACCCCTTCCTTTGCAATCGTGCCAAATAAAAGCCTAAATATGATAAAACTGAAACTTTAGTAATGGTAGAAAAGGAGCAAAATTAATTCGTCATTTATGAACACAATTTAGATGTAGAATTTAATTTTAACCCCTTCCTTTGCACTCCTGCCAAATAAAAGTTTAAATATGGTAAAACTTAAACTTTAGTAAGATAAACGAACAAAATTAATTCGTTACTTTTGAACACAATTATGACGTAGAATTTAATTTTCAGATTGTATATATTGTTGAAAAGGAAGATAAAAAGATATCGTTCAATATTTTGAACTACAACGTGAACGTAGTGTCAAATATATCGGTTGAACTAATTTCTGCTTTTTGTTGTTTAAATACAATAAATAATTTACCTACTATTCATTGAAACACTGCTGTCTTATTGCACGGAACTAACGACACGGAAAACTCACTCTATATCTTTAAAACTGTCCACTCGTTTTTCGAAATCACTAGGGACAACTATTACGCACTCACTGTAATTATATTTTCACGTGTACATTGCTTGCTTATTTCTAAAATGTAAATCCATTTCAGAGACAACTATAACACACTGTAATCATACTTTCACTTGTAGATTGATTATTTATTTCTAAAATTTAATACATGTATCTATATCTGACAGGGAGGGGAGTTTTAGGCTATGCCTTTTCCCCAACCCCTATTCAGATACAAATCTGAATAAAAATACTGCTTATAACAAAAAAATCCGTGGTGATATTAGCGCGACATCTTTAATACCAATTATGTCATAACTTGTCAAATCTGTCGCTTATATGTCACGAAAATATAATTATTGCGATGGTTCCGATTGCATTAAATTATGCCAAGAATGACAACCCGCCTTTACTTACGACGTTTAAAATTATTATAACTGAAGGCATGGAATTATAAGCAAACTTTTACATGTCTTGAAATAAAATAGATAAGTTGCAGACCTCCATGATTCTGCAAATGATAAACAATTTTTGACACGTAACAGAATTAGCTGGTTTATTTTCGCTTGTAACCCGAATATTCTGATGCATCTATCTTTACACGCTGTGTGTATTTTAAGCTTCGATTCGTCCATGTGCTTTAGATGCATCTTAAGTAACATTTATTGCTTTCCCTTCATAGTTTAGAAATCTTGAACTCAGGCAAAAGTTTAAGGAAGGGAGAGAGAGGGAAATTGCGTTTAACGTCAACTCGATACAAATGACTAACACACGTTTCAATTTTATTTCAATAATACACTTGCGCGTAGGACACGTAGAAATCCCACGAGGTTGGACAGGTGAGAGTATTCCTTGTCACGTACAACCGGGGAATAGAAACCCCGCCAGTTTACTCAACGACAGACCTTATGATACAGCGCGCACCTGCTAACCATTCGACCATAATACACCGCGTTTAATGAAGATGTACACAGGACAATACAAGACTGCTGCTCAACAACAACAAAAAAGAAAGTTTACGAGCAGTGTGTATATAAAAAGACAATCGAAAACGTTAGAATGACTGGAAAGTTTTTCAAAACGAAAAAAAATTTATTTCATAGAATACCAAATTTAACCGAATGTTAAGATAAATAAAAGAAAGCCTGTCAAATAAAAGAAACTCTGTCATCTGCGTGAACCTACCAAGAGACAAGTTATATAAAGTGATGCAGACTGACCATACCACGTCATGTGCACGACATTTTTTTAGATTTTTAAGAAGATTAAGACAAAGTTATCTCGAGATCGATCAACTAAATCACACGTGGGAATACCAATACTCACATTATTGTTAAAGACTTGGTAGGCCCCTGAGGCTTCAGGTACCGTGAGGCCCCAACAGTTACGTGTTTTACCACCTCCTCCCCCCACCCTCCGACCACAGCCCCACCCCTTGCATACAGTACAGTGTGTCTTACTGTTGTAGTATGCTTACTATATATATATATATATATATACAATATATTAATTGAGCCCTTTTTAAATAGATAATATAGCTAATTCACAAAGGAAATAATGTAAGTTTAATATCTGACGTCCCTCTATGTCCCGGGTGACCCTGGTCTACAGTCCCTTCTCCGGTCCTGTTAAAACATGATTGTCTAACACAAGACATTTGAAATAACACACAATAGGACATTATGTAATAATAATATACGCTGCACACTCAGCACGATAATTATCATTTTTAGAAGACCGTTATGTACTTACCTGCATTGACGTAAGAACACAAGGGAAGCAACAACATTAAGCTATACGGCATCCTCATCCTAAAACACGTGCTTATTGTTCTTGTATTGATGATCGTTGTATCTGTGTATCTCACAACATTCAGTTAAACCCTACTCAATTCATCTATCGACAAATTATATATATATATCGTTTATAAACAGAATGAAATCAATGTTATACGTCATTAGATTTTAATCCTTATTGCTTTGGTGGTTGGAGCAACAATCTGAATGTATCGTCTGTATGTAGTGGTATGTACCAAGTAGTCCAAACCTAACGCGGGTCCACTATATCCATCCAATCGATCAATATAGGATTTGTCAGTTGTACTCAATTCTACTCTTCTCAACACTTCCAGATAGGTGAACTAATGGGACGTTTTCTTCTAGTTTTCTTTCGATTGCTGTATCTATATCTTTTAGTGGGTTTCTTCAGACCCTGGCTCCTTTTGACAGGGTGTGTGGTATTCTGCTATCAATGTCTAGAACTGCCAATATCTGTATATCCACAACATATATCCAGATTTCTAAATTTGTCAGAGGAACTATTCCTTAATCCATTTTTAGTTTAATATTTTACTTTCTGATCGGTTTAAATCAATGAAAGAACTCGCAGTTAATTTATGTTTTCACAGTGTTAAATATGCAAATCTGAACAGTCACGCCTCTCCAAAATATCAGACTTCAATGGAAATTTTAAATGCCTCTGAAAGAACGTATTTTAATAACAAGGAAATATATAATCCCTATAAAGGATCATGGCTTAAAAAACCCATTACGATAAATTATTATCACTTGATATACCGTAGGTAGATTGTAACTTGTCATACAAACCAATTCAATGGAAAATTATTCAACAGGGAAAGTTGTCAATAACATTTAGTCCTCTGTCCTGTGGTCTTCCCAGAATCAAAATATGTATTGTGACCTTCGCAGAAAATGATATTTATTATATATGTATAAAGCCACGACGTGTAACTTATATATATGTGTAGATATGACTTGTTTACACCGCCATGGTCACCCAGTCTTTAATGTAATTACTATGGTCATTTAATTCAAAATCACAACCCCGTGTCACTCACATGTATATAATGATATAGATCAAAACAACACAGTTAACTGAACTGACACTTAATAAAATTTTCTTTTTTGTGGGCATTGACCACCGTACGTTAAGAGTATCGATGTTGTTTCGTGAGAAGATAAGTTATTGTAAAGACTATCAATGTAGATCTTTTCAACAGACGTATAATCTAAAAAAACAGCTTGAAAACACGCAGAAGGTCAATAAATAGTTTCCGTAATTCAATTCAAGTAAGGGCTGAAAAAAACGATGTTTAGATAATAATTTGGACGATTACCCAGCCCCCACCCCCTCCCCCAATAAACTTTAAGCCAATTGTTCAAAATTGAGGCCAAGCACTAGGGTAATCTGTTCGTTCGTACGTTCCTAGAGTTTTACGTCCGCTTCCACCATGGGGGATATCGTAGACAAGGGTAATATGGTCCAGGGTCTAGTCTTTTCAAGTAAACCTGCCATGATACGCACGTGTGCTTTTAATCACATGTAGCCATTGGTGGTCATTTTAAATAAATGACTTCACTAAAGCAAACCTTGACTGTGAACCTGGGACCCGCCCAAAATGTCCCAATTGAGCCCTTCAGCTCCTAAGACAGACCCTGGATACCATATGTTTCTTGACGTTCGTGAACTTTAAAAAAAATTTGGTCAATTTTAACCATTTTTGACAAACCTACTTTTTATTAAGTGTGGTGTGAATCACTATGAAATGGGGTTTAACGTCCTACTGTTCTGCTCCGATTGGGCTAATGCAGACGGGCATACGCCATACAGTGTGCTATGAGGGGAATTTTGCCTGGACAGCGGCAGCGCTACGGATTACACGAATTTCATCTGCCAGGGGATCTTTTACGTGCACGCCAATGTGTACACAGGACCTCGGTTTTTCGTCCCATCCCAACAACTAGACAGCTGTCCTTGTCAGGTCCTCCGTCCTGCACTACTGACAAGGGGAAACCACGCCGGAAAATCCCGATTAACTTTCTCGGCCAATACAGGGATACAGTTGAAAGGAGGGCTGACTTGAAATAAAGATATCCTAAAATTTCACATATTTAGTTTTCTTAATTGGTGGATTGTAGTTGGTTGCCAATTTTTTAATTCAATAAAAAATATTACGATTCGTAAAATAAATCCGAATATCTTTTCACATTCAAAACCTACATTCATGACAGAAACTACACATTATTCTTATATGGCCTCAATATAAAATAGCTCTTTAAAGCCCTTTTGTCTCGTTCTATACAAATGCTAATCATTTCCTCTGATAGGAAGCAACTCAGTATTTAAACATTTTATTACCTTTAGAACTTTCTATTTTATTACAAGGTTTTGATTGATTTTTAGTTCCTTAACATTCGATTAACGAAACAATTTCTGTTTCATTAGGGTTTTTATTTTATTCATACCATTTAGCTTTCCCTTCAGATACTAATGGAGACGTCACGAACTTCCGGTCACGAAAGCCACTCGTTTGTTATTTTTTGTTTTACATGCGTTTTCGTCAAATTGTTATATGTCGTGACAAATGACGAAAACATTATCTCGACAGGGGGGTTGGGATGGGGGCACTTCGGGTTCGGGGGAACCTCAGCATAGAAATTAACTTACTGTAGACTAATATTGTTGCTAAACTCCACTATTTTTAGTCTTATTTTCATAATAAATCGAATTGTATAGTTACTACATTTTAATAAAGGAAATCTGTTCTCCTCCTTTGGCTGGGTTGGATGGCCGAATGGTTAGCACGTGCGCGCTGTATCATAGAGCCTGTCATTGAGTCAACTGGCGTGGTTTCGAATCCCCGGTTGTACGTGACAAGGAGTAGGGTCGCCTGTACAACCTCATGGGTTTTCTCCGGGTCCTCCGGTTTTCTACCACTGCTAAAGACCCCTACGCGCAAGCGAATTATTGAAATAAAATTAAAACCAAATGTTAGTCCCGAAATGACCTAGTTTGTGGCGAGTGGACGTTAAACCCCATTTCTCTCTCTCTCTCCCTCCTCCTTTGGAAAGGTTACTAGGTGACATAACAGGACCGTTATACTAAGTAAATTCTAATCAATGCTATATTTTATGTCAGTAACAGGGCTGGTCAACAGATTAGATTATTAAATATAATGCATTTCATTTGAGCCCATTATTCAGCAAACAGGAAATCGTCATTTTGAGCTAATTCAGCAAACAGCAAGCCGTTATTCGTCATGTCAACCTTAGAGTAATAATAGATGGACTAGCTAGCAGACGGTACTGTAATTTGAAGTCGTCTGCAACCATCAATAAAATATTTCATGACAAGAACCCCTGGTAACTATGATATATACTCCTTTGGGATATAATCATGATATAAAAGAATCGGAAATATATCCAGCAGTGTCCGATTAGTTGAAATTAATTTGAAGTCGTTTGTTCCTGGCAATGACATGACAACCTTATACCCTTGCCAATATGTGTACGCTCATAAGTTATACAAATAATATATTTGGCTTTCAATAATATCAACGATATATGTCATCAACCTTATTGGCTCTGTCATGGAAACCTAAACAATTTTGCATGTTTTTGGGGTTTTTACATGTCTGTACATTGCCATTAATACTATAACTCGTGTCTGACAAGAAAACATGATTTGCAATGGGGTTTAACGTCCTAAATTTCTGCACCGAGTGGGCTTATCAAGTGTGTTATGAAGGAAATGTTGCCCGAACAGAGGCGCTAAGGCCTACTCTGATTTTGAATTCCAACTGTCATGGGTTCTTTTACGTGCACACATCAATGTGTAATGTGTACACAGGACATCGGCGTTTTGTCCAAACAAACAACCAGACACTATCCTGATCAGACCCCCATGACCTGCACCACTGACATGTGGAAACCACGCTGAAGGATCCAGGGGACCTTTCCCAGCTAACCCTGGGATCGAACTCCGGAACTCCTGGTTTGTGAGCCAGCCCCTTACCCACAGCGGCTCCCTGTCATTTACTAGTAGATTCTGTCACCAAACCGTCCAACCTTTATTAGCTATGCGAACTCGTCAAATGGGAATTGGTATCAGGTGTTCTAGAAATATTAAGCATTGTATATATCACTAAACAACATAATCGTACTGATGATGCCATTGCTTAATTCCTCGTATGGAATACTTTTATAACCTGGGGCGCAACCATTGCCTTTAGCTATATCCACATAGTGGAACTGCTTTATAACATGGTGCAACCACTGTTATTGTGTATATCCCCATACAGCTTAACCGGATTCTGTCTGTAACCGGTCGTATAGAATTGTCATATAAACTGATGAAGCATGAGAAATGGTGATCAATTGTGCCAGTGTTCTAAGAATAGACTGCATTCAATATCAATATATAACGATAATAGAATTCATCAACAATACCACAATAAAACCATTTTGCCCATTTCTCTTTTTATATCCTTGAAACACCATCGTGTAGCTGTACAAACTAACATTCATTTCAAGAGGAAGAGGTGTAATCCGCCGTTTTCCTCTTTCGAATTTCCACTGCTTTATTCATGCAGTGAGAACACGATTCTCGATCCGGTTTAGGCACGTGAGGTCCGACCTAGGAAATAGAATTTAATTCCTTTCAAATCTCCATCGAATTAATCACAGAAGTAAGAACATACTCATTTATCATATTCTAGGCATACGTACGAGGTCCGACCTTAAAACAGAGTTTAAATCCACCGCGTTTGCTTCGGTTATCAACTGTAATAATAAGGCTCACGCCAATACCAATACCATTATCAACTCGAATAATAAGTCTCACGCCAATGCCAGTACCATTATGATTTTTGGTCAGTCAGCAGACACTCGCGACCCTATCAACAACCCCTTGTATTTTGAAGCCACCGATGCTCTAAGGTCGCCGCCGAAGAGAATCTCAGAGCCTGAGCGGTAAAGTTCAGTTGGGTTCAGACTATGATCATCTATAACCATCACTAATGTACTAAATGTCACTGGGCTATTTATTTCAATCCAATTGATCTTGCATAATAAGCGGTTAAAAAAGTTTTATAAAACATTTATTACAGGACGTCAATACCTAAACTATACTATTACTCTGTTCCAGTAAAAGGTTATCGGTATTGCTGTAAAGGGCATTTTAGATTGGAATTCATTGTT